ACTTTGAGGGTGATTAGGTTTCCAACGCTCCAAGTATGCCAGTTTTTATTCCCTGGCCAAAGGTGGGATACTTTTCTCACAGTCCTCGTACTTACCTTCCTACTGGCTCTTCTAGACCAGATGGCGATGATCTACTTTAACAATACTATGGGAGTCCTACATTACCAGGCATGGGAGCAAATGGTTAAAAAACCTTTATTTTCAAATTTTTATATATTGGGCCATTTACCATCATATCACTGTTGGCACATCTTATTATGGGTGTCCTGAAGCTGGTCTCACATTGGTTATCCTGTACTGACAGAATTCTACTGATGGGAGTTGTGTTCCTGCTTTGGATGCTTTTGCCTTTAATATCAATACACATCTTCCCCAGTAAGGGCACTAAACTGATTTATTGTGATTTCATTATTATGTATTTCATCTTCTCTAATTAGTTTTAATTGTTTGAGATGTAATGATCCTTATTCATTCTCTATAATTTTAATATTAGTCTTACAAACTACAGTAGGCTGTAATTAATGTATGATAACACCTGTTTATTTAGAACTATTGAATTATGACATGTATTGTAATTTTTCTTGTGTTCAGAAGTTAACAATGTTTGAAGAAACAGATCACTAAATGCTCTAATTTCTACAAGATACAAGAGGGATCCATTAGTAAGTTACTGTTCATTGAAAATCCAGATTACTGATAGTTATATATATCTTCTAATTAAATGGCTCAGAAGTAGAAATGTATTTATAGATGCTTATGCATTACAGTAATAACAGAAGCTGTTATAAATAAATATATATATATTGTGAGAGTATTTTTTGTTACTTGAGGGGGAAAAAAAGTATGATGTATATATGCACAGTAAGCTCTTACACATCTATATAAATAATATGCTTGCATTTGTCTGTCTGAAACTTTTTTCACAAATTTCTTGATCAAATGCTACAAATCTATATCTTTAGAAAGGCCTTTATCTGAAGAGTCTGGATTGCATATAGACTTTTCCATTTAGAATCACCTTACCTTGTTTTTGCATAGTCAAACTTTCTAATACAACGAGTATGGTACATGATGGCACAATGTTGTTGTCATCATGTGATGACTGGCTTTGATTTCAACTTTAGTTTTTTTTATTTACTAAGTATTTCACACAAACAACACTTAGCCCATGTGTAATTTCTTAGAACACATAAACATTACACTAAATACAATTTCTTTTTTGACTTATTTAGATCTAAAATAAGCATGTGCAATTCATTAAAAACCATATGCTTATGACTCTGTGAACATGCAATCGGAAGTTTCTACATATCTAGTTAAGTTTGCGTTCATTACAACTTTACATTTATATTCAATAATTTAGCTTTGATTCATTTCATAGACTGTTATAAACACCTTTTAGCTACTTTCTTTTTAAATCCAGGTTTTATTCTTTGTTTCAACTTTTAAAACTGTGACATACACTGAATGCTCATAACTGTTTTATCCTCTGTACACTATTATAAATAACATAACTATACTTTAATTGTTTACTTTACATGTAGTTTTATTAAATAAAGTTACATCTAAGTGAATTTGTATGTCTAACCACATAAATTTTTTTCAAATAGACCAGCATTTATTGATCTAACACATAATACCTGAAAGAAAGCATAGCTTGAATGCCGTGCATGGTGTGAAACTCATAGAATAAGGAAAGTTCAAGTGAAAGGCATGAAAACTACTACAGATGTATCGCAGGTCACAGCTA